TGTGGCCTACAACACTCCTGAGTGCAGCCCAAATCAGATTAAAAGCAGTTGGGTAATATTTAGGGAAATAGAAATACAACAAAACATAACATTACACTTTAAAACAAAGTAGGTAGCCTTCACCTACCAACTATCCCATGCAACGACTGTTCGAAGTTAAGACAATGCAAAAAAAAAAAAAACCCTTTGTGACCAATCCTTACATTAATGACTATTACCTTGTTCTGAAGTCATGTGATTTCCATTTGCATGTTTGGCTTGCAGCAAGCAGAATCAATAGGCATAAGTAAAATTGTGGGTCCCAAATCACACAACGATACAAAGAATTTTAAAGGTTAAAACTCAGTTGAAATTCAGTTGCTGTGATTAATGGATAGAAAATTAGAAAAGAGTTATGGAAGTTGTTTTTGTATATAATAAGTGCTGCGAGGGTATTGTGTGCATAACAATAAAAAGATTCTCCAGTGCCCATACTCCCAAATGTCCGGTGAAGATGGCAGAATTAGCAGAGATGGGACTTGTCTGATTAGAAAAAGGACAATGACCACTTTTATTAGCTACTGGAAACTCCTTATAGATTTTTTGCTGAAGGAATTAAAAAATGAATTTGTGGATTTGATGACTGGGAAGGGTAGGTTATGGAAAGAAGGAAATTATGTTGTAATCTTTGTAAAATACAAAGACAACTGCTGTTAAGAAGATTGGAAGCTGCTTCTTTAAAACTTTTACCTCTTTCTCTTTGCAACTTTTTCACCTGCTTATTATTTTATTTACTTTTTTCCCCCAAAATTTGTATTGTTTTTATTCTTTAAAAAATTCTTTTGATAAAAAGTACATATGAAACAAAGAAGGCAGAAGTAAAATCATAAGTCACAGTTGAATGACCAAAGGTGAAATATGACTGAACGTCTATTTTGGTCATGTGATTTTCTAAGTCATGTGTGATTTTATATACAGCCCAGAGGGACCTTCATCTACTATTAACTATTTTTTTTAGCCCCAGTTTCTGTTGACTTTGACTGTACTGTTATGGGCAACATTGCAATGATGTGGAATAGCAGAAGAACTGCAGGAAGTGACGAGAGAAGGATGAATGCTTCCCTCTGTTGTGTCTCATTAAAATTTGCTCTACTGAAACATGCATTTGCACTAAATGGGCCTTCTACTGGCACTCAGGAACACTATGCTGATCTCTTCAATGGGACCCTTTTCATCTGGAGTTAAATAAGAAAATAACATACTTCCACTCTTCCTTTCCATTCACTGCAGTCTCACTTCTCTGGATACCCTTGTAGCTTCTATTTATAGCTCTTTAAAGCAGCACATTAATTGCTGTCACACAATTTAACATCCCATCCAGCTTGACCCTCTTATCACCCCAACGCAAGACTGACATTTTAAGACTTCATAATTTAAGACTTCATAGCAGCTGCCCACTGAACGTAGGAAGTCAGGCAATGGCGAATAGCGTCTCATTAGTGCCCAACAATTAATTGCACATTATCAATGGTATCTGTCATAGTGGCTAGTTCCACACTAGTTTGTATGGTGACATGGCCACTTTTTAATACATTCACTTTTTTACATCTCAGTATAATCCTCAAACTTCATGGCCTTCATACATTAGAAAATGCAATGTTTATTCAGCCAATAGTCTCTGAGTGGCATGTCCTGGGCAAAATCTGGATTGATGAAAAATTACATTAAATTTAACTAAGATGGCCCTTGTGTATTTAATTATTTAATCATTTTCTACTGTCATATTAAAAAGTGTAGATTGGCAAGAGCATTCGGAAGAGCTCTGGAGTCATAGATTTTTGACCTCAGTTCTACATCAGACTTTGCTTCTATCCTAGCCACAAAGATTATTTTTGATATTCCCTTGGTTCATGCACTTTGACCCTGGTTTAAGGTGTGGCTTCCATGCGCCCAGCCAGATGGCTCTGCACTCTGTAATGCATATTAAGTCTATATAGTGTTTAACATTATGGCTTCATCTAATGCAGTGTTTCTCAATCTCAGCGAGTTTAAGACCTGTGGACTTCAACTCCCAGAATTCCCCAGCCAGCTGGCTGGGGAATTCTGGGAGTTGAAGTCCACAGGTCTTAAACTCGCTGAGATTGAGAAACACTGATCTAATGTAATGGGACGTGAACAAGAATTACTATACTGTACATTCCAATTTATTGAAATGTACTCAAAGTATTAAAAGTACACCCTATATTCAGTAAGGTGGATTTTTCTACAAAAGATTGAATCTGATTTTTTTTCCCCCGTTGCTCTGTACCAGGGGTGAAATGCTACTGGTTTGCTCCGGTTCGGGCGAACCAGTAGTGATAACAGCTACCAGTTCAAGCGAACTGGTAGTAAAAAAATGCTTTTAAAATTTTTTAAAAAGGTTGCGACAATCGTGCAGCACAGCTGTGATCGTCAGAACCTTTTTTTTTACTTTTTAAAAGTATTTTTTACTACCAGTTCCAGCGAATAGGTAGTAAAAAAGTGCTTTTAAAAAAAAAGGTTCTGACAATCAAGCGGCACAATTGTGATCGTCGGAACCTTTTTTTTACTTTTTAAAGCATTTTTTACTACCGATTCGCCCAAACCGGTAGTAAAAAATTCTTTAGAAAAGTAAAAAAAACAGTTGACCATGCCCACCCAGTCACATGACCCCCCCTCCACCAAGCCACACCCACCAAGCCACACCCACAGAACCGGTAGCAACAAATTTTACATTTCACCACTGCTCTGTACCTATGGAAATTTCACTTAATTTTGAGTTTTTTAATTTAATTTTTTCCCTTCTTCCTTATTTTTATAAATGATTCAAGACAGCAAATAATAATCCTTCTCCTATTTTCCCCACTGCAACAACACCACGAGGTGAGCTGGGTTGGGAGAAATGACTGCCTCAGAATCACCCAAGTGCATTCTTAATGTTATGTTCTTCAGGGATACCCGAAGAGGTTTTTTTTTTTATTTGTAAAACTAAAGTAGTGGACCTGAATATTTCAGCTAGGGGACAGTTCTTGAATCATTAAAAAGCACCTAGCTTGCAATCTTTGTTGATAGAGGAGGAGTGCAAGAAAAAAATTGTGCTACCATTGATCTTCCCCAATAATGTAATCGAATAAGGAAGAAAAATTAAGTTGAGGGAGACTGCAGTCCAATAGAAAACGCCCTGTTCTCCCATCCTCAGGGGTGAAAAGGATACGGGAAGTAGCCTTAGCATCAGTGCCAAGTTTCCTTTGGGGAAGTAAAGTTTTAAAAAAGCGAAATGGGAGAACAAAATGCATGCACCTACTTTTTACCCTAGTATGAGTAAGCTGAGTTACAGTTTCTTTCTCTTCTATAGAATCCTCTCTGAGTTTGGTTGTTTGCTTGAAGATATTTCATTAGCAGACTAGGTTATATCTTCAGTATTCTTTGGCACCGAAGATGTTATCTAGTTGACAATGAAACATCTGCAAGCAGACAGCCAAGGACTCCACTGTTCAGTTGTGAGCTGCACATAATCTTTGATTTATGGGCACAACTGAGCCCAGAATTTGGGTTGTAAGTCATTGCAGTTGTAAGTCCAATCATTGCATGATCGGATTCAGTTTTACCACCATTTTTTACAATGATTGGTAAGCAAGTTGTTGTGGATGTTAAATGATTCGCATGGTGAGAACTCTAAATTCAGCTTATCCAAAGGGTGCAAAATGCAATCATGTGACCAAGGGATGCTCCAATCAGTTTAAAATGCAAGCTGGTTGCTAAGCACCAAAAATGAAATCACATGACTGCGGGGGTGGTGCGGCTTCTTAGGACAGGTCATAAGTAAATTTTTGACTCCATTGTAACTTTGAATTGTTGTTAAGTGACCAGTCATTGAGCGAGAACTACTTACTCAAATATTCTCTTCCAATGGTTTCTCCTGTCTCTGTAATGATTCAGCTGTTTTGGTTTAAATTTACATGCATTTAAGCAAAATTTTTACTTGCTTAATAATAAAGTTTCAGGTTTTTAATGATAAACAATGGCACAGAAAAATGAATCATCTTAAGAGAAGTAAAGCATTTATTCCTATTGGACTAAATTGTTTATTAGGTTACTAATTAATGTTACAAAACTATTTTATAAATGGTAAATATTCCATCTTAGGTGAAAGCCTTGGACCAATGATTATGTGGATCTAAAATAGTCAGAATAGGAAATCTAGCAGGCGATTGATCTTGAATATAAGTAGCAACCATTTCAAATGATGTTATAATGCACTGAATCTGTCAAATTCTGAATTGTGTGGATTTTGAGAGCATTTCAAAAATTAGCAGGAACTTCCATCTTCCCCAGAAAAAAACTTGCTCTCTTCAATATGGTTGTTTACAGTCTTGTGGCTTTAGGATGAAACAAGAATTTTACTCATCAAGGGCACAAGGGTTCTCCATGTTTCAACAAGCGAGCAGGCCAACCGAGCTGACTTGTTCATGTCTCTGAGAGGGAGTTTACATGAAAAAGAGAAATTTCATCACTACCACCTCTCCCCCACCCAACTGCCAAACACAGCACTTTCAACTGGATTTAACTTGTCCATGAGTCAGCTTCCTAATTAAGAAATCAAAACGCTCACATCTGATTCATAATGCTTCCAGACGAGGCACTCCTAGCACTATTAAATCCAAAGCCCTGTGCAATTCCAACTTCCATTCTAAATTGTGGTTGTCTGCTAAGAAAAAGTGCCAGGAGAATTAGTAGAAAAGCACAAGAGGTTATCAAGGTGGAACGTGTTGCCATTAGAATATTGTTCGGTGACTATACAAGAAAACCTTTGGAAGCAACCCAAACTTCAGGATTTAGATGGAATCTAAATTCCCTCTAAATTTAGAGGGGAAAAAACATAAATATTATTTTCATGTGTACAATTTGCGACATATTGACACATTACCTTATCTTTTACATTGAGATTCTGTCCTCTATCCACCCACTGCCTTTAAAATAATTTAACAATTGTTTCTTCCTAGGTTACATATACTTGATACATTTGGTGGACTTTTTCCAAGAATATCCTTTCATTGACCAGGAACAAGCTGCAAACCTAACAAAGACCTCAGAGAGAGAGAAGATCTGCTGTTTGCTCTGTGTTGTGAAGTTGGAAATTATCAAGATTATGGGGTGATAATTCTGCTGACATTTGTAGTTTAATTCATTCTTCTCTATGTTTTGCTCTTGCTTGGTGCAAACAACCTTTAGATTTTAGTAGAGCAAACTACACTCAAAGCATCTGTTGTTTGGCCTGAATAGAGAATTCATTTTCTGGAATTTTTTTTCTTTCTTTAAAAATGTTCTTGGATCCCATCCTTTGTATACAGTATAAGTGCTGAAAACTGGCTGTGGAACTCCCAGGTCATTAGGTGGCAGCATTCTTAATTCTTTGCTGCCACTTAGAGGTTAGTCAAAGTACTGCAGCCAAATCTGGTAGAGAAGGAAGAGAAGAAGAAAAAAGGCCTGTTTAATAACATCCAACGTGGAAGCCCCTATGGCAGAGGTGTCAAACTCACATCGTACGGCAGCATCACGTGACGTAGCGGGACTTTTTCCCCCTTCGCTAAACCAGGCGTGAGCGTGGCCAGTGTGTAAGGCATTGGGCCGGGAGTTCGACAGCCCTGCCCTATGGTCTTTTTCTTTCCAGCTTCTTTGCAGTAAACTCAGAACACATGTTGAAACCTAAGATTTTATTAAGCAGGTAAATTCGTAACTAGCTAATCTAATGGGAGTTTTATTTGGAATTCTGTTTGTACAGTTCTTGCCTTTTCTTGCATTTCTGAATTTCCCTTCCCCCCCAAAAAAAACATATTTTTGTATGCAGAGGTTTAGTTTAATTATTTTACTAAGTTCCTGAGTGCAAGATGAGGCAGTTGGTTAGCTAGCAGTTGTGTTTAAAGATTGGTGCTAAATTGTTAAAATATATTACTTCTGGATTTTAGGGCTGGATGATCCACAGGTTTTCCTATTTTTCCTAGAGGTGAGGTGAAAAAAGAAGTCCTTGGATGGAACTCCCAAATCATACTAAAAAGATTCAGGCTGATCTCTAGCAGCCTATCCTAACAACCTTTTTCTGGAAAATTCTTTGAAAAATACCGATTGGTGGGATACTTTAAAATTACCCCTTTTCCCAGTTTGCATCACCCGGCTTCATTTGAATTATATATATATATATACACACACACACACACACACACACACACACACACACACCACTTTAGTCCAATTATTGGATTTCCTAAATCAGTATTCCAAGCAACTCCAGTATTCTGGAAAGACAATTCATAATTGGTAATAATAGCATACTTAGACATTATTTCTGTTGGTTGATTATTTCTGTTTAAATAATGTTAAATACTCAAAAATAGTACAGGTAGTCCTCAATTTAACAACCATAATTGGACCCAAAATTTCCATTGTTGTTAAGTGAATCACTGCCATTCTAAAGTGAACCATGGCAATCATTAAACTAATCTGGCTTCCCCCATTAACGTTGCCTGTCAGAAGAAGTCTAGGAAGGTTATACATGGTGATCACATGACCTCAGGACAGTGTAACTGTCATAAATACGTGCAATTTACCAAAGGCCTTAATTTTGATCACATGACCATGGGGATGCTGTAACCTGTGTGAATTGGTGAAAACCAGTCATATGTCACTTTTTCAGTGCCGTTGTAACTTTGAGCAACCAGTAAACTATTGGTTGTAAGTCGAGGACTACCTGTATATGGGCACATTCTTGACTTCACCTATTATAGTCTTAAACTCTTGCCAGAAAAAGCAATATAACTGGCAGACAGCCCAGTCTATTTCATGGCCCAAAATTGGTATAAAAATAATCCTGTAAAAGTTATAATTCTTCAAAAAATTTAGTTGATCTGACCCATATTAAAGTTTTGCAAACATTAAAAGGATTAGAGGAAAATGTCACCTATTTTTTTCAAAATTTGAAATATTGTGCCAGTAAAGTATTATTAATTTTGTATATGCTGGGGAAATTTTTCATCTGGAAAAATATATAATTCAAAAGATTGTCAACTTCTGCTATAATATCTGTATCAATCCTCTGCTTAGTTAGGGTGCTCCACTATAAATGGAATCAAATAACTTAATTCTGCTTATTTATAATAGATATTTGGAAGCCCCCAGCCTCCCTGTGACTGATATAAAATATTTCTAGTTTTGTTTTCTTAAAATTGAAATGAAAGCTTTCAGTTGTCTTTGCCATTTCATTAGTATTTTGTCTGGCATTTCAAATGGGAAGGATTTTAAACAAATTAAGATTGGAAAGAACTTGCTGGAGAAACATTTTTAGTGAAACTAGTATAATTACAAAGCAGTCTCTCAAATGCTTTCCCAAGTTAGGTTTATTGTATCTATTTGTACAATCCAACAGTTCACTTATAATAATAAACTGATTGTCAATTTACTTAAGGCAACAACATTCTGCAATGCATGACATTCCTGAATTTCTTGAAAATATAACAATTGATTTGTCAATTACAAGTGCCTTCTTAATTCCCTTATTAGAAAAAAAAATCACTGATAGATTTAGAATAATGAACTTTCAGAGGCAAGAACCACACTTTTATCATACTTGGGCAGATTAAATTCCAAAACGCAAAATTGCAAAAGGTGTAATCTTGTCAATTCTTGTTATATATGGAAATGGTGAACAACGTTTGGACTTTTCAAATTAGTGGTGACTTTTGCTTTTTATTTATTCATATCCTTTTTTTGTATTTGTACTCACAGCATTGTACATTATTTGCTTAATATTTTTCTCATTGTGTAAATTGCTTTTCCATTTTTAAAAATCTAAATAAAAAAACTGAAACAAGTTATGATTGTTTTCCTATGAAATAAGGTGTTGCTGCTTGCAGTGTTAATTCTACTCCCATTTATCAAGAACTACCAGTCAGCCAAACAGCTGAAATTAATTTTCAAATGTTGCCACAATGAAAGTCTATGTCAGGCAGTTCCCATTTTTCACCAGTAGTAATTTTCTCCTCAGTAGATATAAGGAGGTGGGGAATCTGGATTAGAATTGAGGAAAGATTAAGAAGTAAAAACTGTTCTTCTTCCATAAAGTGGACCTGATCCACACTATCATTTCTGCATTTTGCTATTTAGTTAAAAGGAAAAATGCCCTTCAACTATACTTATCAAATATATATTTGGTTTGATTTTTAAATTTAAATTAAATGTGAGACAAAAAAAGAAAAACAAAAAATCAAGAGGCAGCAGAAAACTAGCCATGGTATAAATCTGAGCTGTTCAAATGCCCTAGTTTTGGGCCTATCCCTTTTGCTAGTTTAAAGTACCATTCCCCAACCTTGCAAACTACCTTATCATGAATTTTGCTGCCTTTGTTGCTATGACCCATCCTGATTCCATGAAGTTTGTTGTGACTCAGTCCCAATACTATCTGTGTTGATGTCTCTCACTTAGCTGTCCTCCCTATGTCAAGTCACCACCCAGCAGGAAAAATATCTGCCAGTGTGATGCTCCAAACTGGATGGATTCTGCCAACGAGGGTGTTAAAAAAGGATCCAGACCGTTCTGGCTTCAGGCCTCTCTGTCTCTCATCTCTGTGCTTTTCCCTGTGCACCTCCTCCTATAACAACTCTTTCAAAACATGAGAATTCTTTTTTTTTTTTAATTCAGATCAGTTTTGAAGGAAACTGAGTCCCAGGTGGCCCTTTTGCTCTCTCTGTCCTTTTTTTCTTGCCTTTTTGTAGGCAATAAATATCAACATCCAGATTGCTACATGCTTTGTTTGGGAGGAGGAGGGAATGGTACCATCATTCCACCCAATACTTTATACCTTTAGCCTCAAATCAAATTCAGTTTTTGCTCTGGCCCCATCCTTTCCTTGTTTTGTCCCGCCCCTACTTTTTGGAATGTGGCATCTGACATGTAACTCAGTGACCATATTTGGCTATTAGCCTGAAGAATACTTGGAACCTTAAAGCAGTGGTGAAATGCTCCAAAGTCTGCTACTGGTTTGCTGTGCGTGCATGTGCGGCATGCCAAATGCGCTTTGTGTGCATGCGCACCGTAGGCACTACTATGCAGCGCTGAAAAAGGAGGCTTAAGAAGCCTTTTCCTAGGTAAGTAGAACACGGGGGGTGGGAACAGCTGTGCCACACAGTTTAGATTTGCTAGAAAGTAGGATTTCCTGCTTTTTAGCAAATATAAATTGCGCGGCACAGCTGATTGTCGGAAATACCGGTTTGTCCGAACTGGTAGCATTTTTTCACTACCAGTTCACCCAAAGCGGTAGCTTTTATTACTACCGGTTCAGGCGAACCGGTCCGGACCGATAGCATTTCACACCTGCCTTAAAGGATACAGTATATAGGTCAGAGAGGTTCTACAGTAGCCATAGAAAAACCTGCAAAATGGTGGATGCAACATTGCAGTCCTAGTCCCAGCCTTTGTATATGCAGTGTCATCTCCCTCCCTCCCTTCCTCTCTCTCTCTCCCCCTCCCTCCCTCCCTCCCCCTCCCCCACTCCCACACACAATGCCACATTTGTCATCTTGCAGATTTTGATGCACTAATCCCCTGCTGATGCCCTTGATAGAATCTTTAAACAGAATCAATTGAATTACAATATTCTTCTCTGTATGAGTTCTCCCACTGTTGGTCCTATCTGTATATAAGTAAAGCTAAATGGGAACCCAACAGCACACTAACAGCCAAATGCTACAATTTGCTACTTCATTCCTCCAAAAGATGAACTAATAAGGCATTTTCAAATATCAATAAAATCAAGATGAACTCATCTTCCTCTCTCCACATTGGAGAGAGATTGTGCGTGCACGAACTGATACATACAGTCTGCTTTTAATCTTTCGTTGCTGGGATAATGATAATAATGATCAGCTCTATAACAAGAATCTCCAGGCATCACAACAATGAAATTAAATTACAATCTTCATAACCAGCTTCTGTATTTTAACTTTACGAGCAAATAAATATCTATCCATCATGGGATCAAGCTATGAAGCCTTAAAACTCTTTAATAGCTCAGAAATAAATCTACATAAATATAAAGCAAGGTGGCCTAAGAAAACATTGTACCAATATTAGACTATTGGTAGTTCTTTTTAATCTGGTTAAGCAATTATCATATACAGTAAAGTATTTCTTGATGATATGCAATATAATGCTTTTTCCCATCTATTCTGCTACTTGTTTTAGAAGTGCAGTAACTAGTAACTGAAGTATTTGACTTGTTTTGTCATGAAACTTACATTTCAGATTATCAGTCTTTGTTCTGGTAACACAACTTAAAATTGCATAGCAAATCTGCTATGAAAAACGCCTATACAGTAGCAGGAATTAACATATAATTCGATGCAATTATACACTAGCTACAAATCATTCCATTTTACTGAGATATCAGACAATAACAGTTTCATGAATGAATAAAAGCAACAATTGTCATTACAGAATTTTCACATAATAGAAACAAGTCAGTATAAAGGTTTACTAGCAAATAGATGCCAATAAAATCAATACAATATCAGAGTCAGAGTTAATGACTTTAAATTAACCCAGATCCTAGCATAGAGTCAATAAAATGATTTTTTTGAGAAATATCTGTTCTGGAAAGCCCGAACCAGCTATTTTATATGGCTCTATTCCGAGCAGGTCTTGTATTAACATCAATAGGTGTGATTCTCCTTTCTGCAGGTACAATGTGTAGAAAGCATTTGGCAGAATTTAAGTGAGAAATGCTTTTATTTGGCATTTAAGGCTGAAGACTAAAACATATGAAGAATTTTTGCAGGAATTGGGTAGTGTCTGGTTTAATGAAAAGAAGGAATAAGGGCAGTGGTGGGTTGCTCCCTGTTCGCAAGAATCGGTAGTAAAAAATTTTATTAGTTCAGAGAACCGGAAATAACATTGTCTGGCCACACCCCCGAACTGGTCCCTGGCCGGGTTGCTGCTCACTTACCCCGCCCACCTTATCAGAGGCTTTTTTTTTTAACTTTTAAAAGCATTTTTTTCTACAATCTCTTTGGCTGAAAAAAATGCTTTTAAAAGTTTTTAAAAAAAGCCTCTGATGATCACACGGCTCAGCTAGGATCTCCAGAGGCTTCTGAAAGCATTTTTTCTGCAACCTCTTCAGCTGAAGAGGTTGTAGGAAAAAAATTCCTTTTAAAAGCGTCTGGCGATCCCAGCGGATTTGCCTGATTGTCAAGGCTTCTAAAAACATTTTTTTCTGCAACCTCTTAAGGTTGTAGAAAAAATGCTTTTAAAAGTTAAAAAAAAAAGAAAGTTGGCCACGCCCACCCAGTCACATTACCCCCCAAGCCATGCCCACAAAATAAGCCACGCCCACAGAAACGGTAGTAAAATTTTTAGAACCCACCCTTGAATAAGGGTGACATGATAGCAGTGTTTCAATATCTCAGGGGCTGCCACAAAGAAGAGGGTATTAATTTATTCTCCAAAACACCTGAAGGCAGGACAAGAAGCAGTGGATGGAAATTAATCAAGGAAAGAACCAATCTAGAACTAAGGAGAAATTTCCAGACAGAACAATTAATCAGTGGAAGAGCTTGCCTCCAGAAGTTGTGGTTGCTCCAAGACTGGAGGTTTTAAAGAAGAGATTGGACAACCATTTGTCTGAAAGAGTATAGGGTTTCCTGCCTGTGCAGGTGGCTAGACTAGAAGACCTCCAAGGACCCTCCAACTCTATTATTCCTGTTAAGCAGTCCTTTTTCCTCCTTTTACAAATATTTCTCAGCTCTGAAACATCAGTTTTCACCCATTTCTCGTGTCTTGATGCATTAGAGATAAAAGGACTAATTAGGAATTATTGATCTGAATAATTTTAAATTGTTCTGAGTGATCTTCTTGTGTTAACTAAATAGTCCTTTACTGGCTGATCCAGTCATGTCATATATTCAGGAAGTCACTGTTAATTCACGTAGGGTAACTATTTTACCCAAATTAATTGACTAAATAGCATTATAATAACATTATGATTACGTGGCCTGTGATAGCTAACAGGCGGAGAATGACAGGTGCCCAAAGGGACGGTACCAAAGTAGCAACAGAAAAAGGACATTGTGGCAAAGAACAGATTCAAATAAGATGCACATTTTCTCACAAATCTTCCTTGAAGGAACTTCTGCTTATATGATAAAACAATTTGTTGGTTTATTTATTAGATTTATATCCCTCATTTCACCCCACGAGAACCCTGTAATCCTGGGTCACCTAACTCCTGGCCCACCACACCATTGGTTGAGCCTATTTAGATAGTATTGTAGGAATACTGTAGGGTAGTAAAATAGTTTACAAGAGAGGAAGGAAAAAAGGTCCACTTAAATTTTGTGCCAAATGCTTTCTACACATCGTACTTGTGTACTTGCAGAAGGGAGAATCACACCCATTATTGTTAGTATAAGACCTGCTCTGAATAGAGTAATATAAAATAGTTGGTTTGGGTTGTTCTAAAACAGATCTTTCTCCCCCCCAAAAAAATCATTTAATTGAGTCTAGGCTACAATCTGGTTTAATTTGAAGTCATTAATTTTGACTCTGATGTTGTATTTATTTTATTGACATCTATTTGCTGGTTCTGTGAGTCTTATACTGACTTGTTTATATTATGTGAAAATTCTGTAATGACAATTGTTTTTATTCGTTCACAAAACTGTTATTGTCTAATATCTCAGTAAAATGAAATAATTTGTAGCTAGTGTATAATTGCATCGAATTATATGTTAATTCCTGCTACTGTATAGGTGTTTTTCATAGCTGATGGAGATTTGCAATTTTAATATTGTGTTACCAGAACAACGATTGATAATCTGA